TAATTGTGTACCATAATTATACACCTACTTCAGATTTGTACTTGTCATGAGTACACGACGGGTGGAATTAGAATAGCCTATCCTTATGGAGCATATTAATTCTTCACCGGTTTTTGTTAGGGTTAATGTTGTTCATACCATTGATTTCCTTTTTTTTTCTGGATATTTTTTTGTGTCTTTTTTGTATTTTTTTTATGGGTAATTGTGTGTTTTTCTTTTATTTATCATATGTGTTTTGATTTCCACTAAATGTCTTCTCAACCTTTTTTCAAAAGAAAAGGAAATGACAAAGATACCATAAAAAGTAATCCACATGTAAATGGTGTCAAGACGTATTTACACTTGTATGCTAATTTGTCCGCCATTACTTAAAACACGCAAGTTCCTGCAAAATGTTGCATCACAATTAAAACAAATGACGTCACAATAAAAAAAAGTGATTGTTGCTTGACGTCAGAAGGTAATTCGGCGATAGATCAGGGTCATTCGAAGACAAAATTTAGCTAAAAACCAAAAATGTGCCATCAGTGAAGAGTTTGAATGGCATTTACATCAGCCTTGATTACTTGTTCTCTTATATATAAATCTTTTTACAAATTTATGAAATTGAATAATTTTCCTATTAGTTTTTATTGGAATTGGTAATAATAGAGGTGATTGATTGATTTTTATTTGTAATGTTCAGTGGCAAATATGTCATGCATATTTCTAATTATTTAGATTATCTTTAACATATATTTTTGAAATTTCTAATTTACAATACAGGTTGATAACCTACAAAACCTTGTGTTCTAACGTGTCTGGCATACTCTAAATCTTTATTTTATTCAACGCCCTAATATGTTCTACGTGACTGAGTATTCATATATATCCAGTACAACTAAACGGTCCTCCATTGGTAGGAGCAGTTGTAAAAGTTCCCTTCCGGTAAATCCAGGACAACCAAACGGTCCTCCATTGGTAAGAGCAGTTGTAAAAGTTCACTTTCGGTACATCCAGTACAACCAAACGCTCCTCCATTGGTAAGAGCAGTTGTAATAGTTCTCTTCCGTAACATCTAGTTCAACCAAACGGTCCTACATTGGTAAGAGCATTTATAAAAGTTCACCTCCGGTACATCAAGTACAAGCAAATGGTCCTCTATTGGTAAGAGCACTTGTAAAAGTTCACTAAGTCTTCCGGTACATCAAGTACAACCAAACGGTTCTCCATTGGTAAGAGCAGGTTTAAAAGTTCACTTCCATTACATCAAGTACAACCGAACGGTCCTCCATTGGTAAGAGCAGTTGTAACAGTTCATTTCTGGTACATTGGTACATCATAGAGAATAAAAACTATCTAGACTTTCAAGTAGTTTCTTACATTTTTTCAAACAACACTTCGATAACTTATATGGCCCACATAGAAATACAAACATATTCGTGAGGTAAAGGGCAATATTGAATTTTTAAATCCCAGTATCTTTTTTTTTTATTTCATGGTGCCTGGTGAAAGAGTCCAAAGCTGATGCATGTAAAATATGAGAGAAAGTGAAAAATGAAGGATTTTTTTGGAAATTTGCCAATTATGTGTTGACATTTGAAATATTTGTGAAAAATAACCAAATCTTCTGGATTTCAACCACATTAATCATTGACGGTCTAATGATAATTTAGTAAAAGTGCAAGTTTCTAAAAACTTAATATTCCAGTCAGATGTGACAAACGTAATACTAAATGATCTTTTTTGTCAACGCACACGATTTCATATCATGCTTCTAATCCAGAAAAAAAATTGAATTTGATCTGTTTTCAATGAATTTTAGAGGAAGATTAAGATTTAAGCTAAATTTGACATCATTAAAAGAACGATGATACTTATTTTTTCGAACCGAATTTCCACTGAAAACATCAATTATAAATCTCTTACTTAATAGATAATTCGGTTAAGAATTAATATGATAATATATTGATGTACTGTAACAGTCATCAGAATCAATGTATCTTATATCGTTCTGAACATGCATGCAGTATTTGCCACTTGACGTTAAGTAACCAACAATAAATCAATATACTTTTTAAGTATAATTACTCGTCGTCTTTTGAACGTTCTAATAATAGTTTTCGAAATGTATTCAAATCTTTAAGTTTTATATTAAATTCCAATTCAGGAATCGAATGGCGCAAAAATATCATTTGTCTTCCATAACAGAGGGTGTGGAAGGGGGTTTACAGAATCGAGAAAAATGGACCAAAAAATAAAGAATAGAGAATATTGAGGTGCTAAAATATAGAGAATAGAGAATAATGGGCAAAAAGTATAAAGAATAGAGAAAAATGCCCTAAAAAATTAAAGAAACAGAAATGGAGGACCCCCATCCAAACCCTCGTAATATACTTCAAATAGTTGCAACTGGACTCTAATCGACTACACTAGTAAATTAAGTTTAAAGACCAGTTGTAACTAGATAATGTATATTTTGCAAAACAAAATGATATTTTGGTGCCATTCTTGTATTGTAATTTAATATAGAACTATGTGATTCGACTTGATTCCATATTCGATAAAACACGTGGTGTGCGTCCGGAAATTATATCATACATTATTATATTCGTTTGTAGTTAACAAGCTGTTATGTTGTTCGATATGATATTAAAATAGTGTATTTTGGTTAACTTGTTCAATCGACTTTACGCAATTATTTTGATTTGATACTGTTGTGGATTAACTCATAATCGGAAAATTTATCTGTAAACGAATATCATTTTGTTTTAAATTGTGGTAGAATTAAACGACCGGTTTATTGAATCTAATGAACATTTTATTCTGTTTTCTCTCCTTTTCTACCATACTTTTACAGTCTTGTTGCCTTGTTCGCCAAAGTATTATTTTATGATAGACAATACCTTATTACCGAGTAGGATCCAAGGTCCTTTTTATTGTGGAGTTTTAACTTCTTGTGTCTTTTTTTTAGGGGGGGATGTGGATGTGTATAAGTCCCATTTCCACTGTTATTTGAGTTCCTTTAACACATAGTGCATTTTGTGCTTTTGTTTATCTAGACCGTTTGTTTCAACTACAAAATTAGACTTATCTTTGGGTTTTGTACTTACATGAGCAAACACGACGCGTGCCATATATGGAGCAGGATCTGCTTACCCTTCCGGAGCACCTGAGATCACCACCGCATTTTTGGTGGAGTTCTTGTAGCTCAGTCCTTAATTTTCTATGTTGTCTACTATTGTTTGTCTTTTGGTCGTTTTTCTTTTTTTTTTTTTTTTTTTGCAGTTATAAATTGTCAGTTTTTTTTTAACTTATGAGTTGGAATATCCCTTTGAATGGAAATGCCTGTACCAAGTCAGGAATATGACAGTTGTTTTCCATTTGTTTGATGTGTTTGAGATTTAAACTTTGCCACTTGATAAGGGACTTTTCGTTTTAGATTGTCCATGGAGTTCGTTGTTTTTGTTATTTTACTTTTTTTTTATATCTTTCGCCTCTCTTATTCGCCTGATATCTGATACCAATAAAGTATTTACATCATTTCCAATGTCAGCTATATGTAGAATTTCCAATATGGAACAACAAACAACTCATTTGCATTTTCAAAATCAAAAGCATTCTTAGTAATATGAAACATTTCCAAATGTTAATAAAATATGATTGCATTTTGTTTAAACTTTGAACGTCCTAATGAATAAAACATTAGAAACTCACTAATGAACTAATCATGTTTAAACTTTTGGGTATTCTTAAAATCAAATGAACACTATGCGAATAATCAGGTTAGTATGTACGAAGCGCGTTTTAGATTAACCATCATTAGGAACGCTTAAAACCAAAAATTATTAACAATGAAATTACCAATTTTCTTCAAATCTGTAACAACGAATTGTGCCATCTTTACAAGTTTTAAAAATTTTAAAGATTTTTTTTTTTAGATTTTTATGTTGATTCGGACTTCGATTGTTTAAATGTAGATTTAAATGTACATCAATTGAGCTATGTGCATGATTAACCAGTTGAGCGTACAAGCGAACTGTTACCTTTACAAAACTGACTTAGTCTTTTAGTCTTAGATGCATGTTTTTTTTTCATTAGTTATTATTGGCTTTGAACCAGCTGACAGTAACTGCGAGTACTCTCAGATCTGTACTTACACAGGCAAAATTTGGTAACGTGAATTTCACATGAATCTCACATGAAATTCACGTGGAAATTTTAACGTGAGATTCACCTCAAACGAGCTTATACATGAAACTCACGTGAAAATTTTCATGTGAATTTCACATGAATCTCACGTGAAATTTTTCACATGAATTTCACGTGAACTTTACAAAAAAATTTTTTTTTGTATTTTTCATGATTTTAATTAGATTTGAAAATATAGATGTTATTTGATTTACGTTATTTCAAAATTTCACGTGAATTTCACGTGAAAAAAAATCCATTCACGTGAAATTGATGCGAGTGAAATATCCCTGGTATGTGAATTTGTTCGATGTCTTTCTGCTTTGTATCTATCTGATGAGTTAAGCCCTTTTCAATTGATTTGTATATTTTGTTCTTATGTTGTACTGTTACACCACTGTCACAGATTATGGGGACGGTTGGCGCCTTCAAGCTAGTTAAACCCCGCCACATTCTGTATGTGTCTGTCCCAAGTCACGAGCCGGTAATTCAGTGGTTATCGTTTATTGCTGTATATCATATTTGTTTTTCGTTCATTACTTTGTACATGGATCAGGCCGTTAGTTTTCTCGTTGGAATTTTTTACATTGGTCATTTCAGGGCCTTTTATAGCTGATTATGCGGTATGGGTTTTGCTTATTGTTGAACACCGTACGGTGACCTATAGCTGTTAAATTCTATGTCATTTGGTCTCTGGTGGAGAGTTGTCTCAGTGGCAATTATACCACATCTTCTTATTTTTATATTCACATTGTTGCTTTGTGTAATACTGTTACAGTAATACAATGTTTGCAATGGTAAGTTCAAATTTAAAAGAACAAAAAGCCAAATTAATTGCTTGATTTTAATCACAGAAATACACTCGTAATGTTACATAATGATTCATAATAACAGTCAATCAACATCTTAGTGACAAAATTGTGTTACTCTTGTAACGTTTTCAAAACTGTGCAATAGCACTGTAAAACGTATAATTGTTAACGTAACAGTTAATAATCGGTATCATTTTCGCCAATAAAAATAGTTTTCAATTACTTTGATCGTTTTCATTGACAGCAGATCTTCCGATTTAATTAAATAACATGTTCATGTGATGAGGGAAATTAATTTCACCGTCCAATGTATTTGACGTGTTTCCAAAAACTTCAACTTCGGCAAATGTTTTCTGTAAATTTAAATTAAAATAATTTATTTTGAAATTGGTTTTTACATGTATAATTGGATCTCATCAACATCAATTTTATGCACAGCATATAATACTACAGTGAATTAGTCACTCTCGAATAGAAACCATTCTGGGTAATGTGTTCCAAAGCGTACTACACAAACTGCGGTGGTGGGCTTTCATCGTCATAAAACATGAAAATATGACCAATGACGTTACCTTATTTTCATATTGAGTTACAAACAATGAAATTCCCGACACGTTTTAAGATTACATGAAAAGAAGCCATTATTTATTTTTTGGTCTTTTTTTCACTTGTTTGAACAGTGTCAATTCGAATTATTCTTCCAATTTTTGGTCTAGCTACAAATTGGATTTTAAAGGATTTGTTTGACTTTTTGTTCAATTCTGAACTTCTTACGAATTATCTCCACGAAAATATAGAATATACAGGAACTTTCTCATATACAGGAAATTTCTCCATAGTTGTACCAAATTTTGTCTCCCATTTTTTTCATATATTATCTGAATTCGATTTGACAATCGTCATGGATGCGCTTCCGCGCCGGAACTCGTTTGTTCGATACCGAGTTCTTCTACAACAGCGAAATAAGTAGAACGTATAGTACTTCCGGAACTGCCTGCTTAAGCAAAAGAGAGCATACGGATTTACACATGAATATGCATACATCAAACATATACTCATAATCTTAAATATCATCCAGAAGTCAGTAATGCCATCGTCATCCCAAGCAAACCACATTACGTAAATATGCCTTGGTAACCAACAAAACACAAACATGGCAACTAACGACAGAACAAATTTAGCTACCTTAATTCTATCTCTGACTTGACGCTGTTGTTGTCGATTCATAGAAGAACCAACTGTCGATTCACATGGCATCTCCCGGCTGCTTTTTACCAAGATCTTTGCCATGGAAACATAAAAACATCCTATAACAAATAATGGAATGACGAAAAGAAGAAGGAATCTAGATATACCTCGAGCTTTTAAATACGTCCTTCCATGAATGCTTGGTGGCACTTCAAAACAAATTGCCACGCCGGGTCCTTCTATTAAAGTGTAACTCCAAGCATCTGATATAGCAATCAGTGCCGAGGTAATCCAAATGACTGCAACTATAATTGCGATTTTTAAACTCGGTTTCCCTTTGTGTTTATTCATAGGATGCACTATAGCAACGTATCTGTCCCAACTGAGAGCAGTAAGTGTAAATATAGAAACTCCTAGGCACAATGTTTGTAGATATGCGTTCATTTTACAAACGGACTCATTAAACGGGTACTTCTGACTTCCAAAAACAATCGTGAAGAAAGGTGCCGAAAATATCAGTAATAATAAATCTCCAATCGAAAGATTAACTATCAAAGCATTCGGAACAGTCCGTAAAGCCTTTTCCTTCAAGACAATGTAGACCAAAGATCCATTCCCTGCTACTCCAATTAACATGATCCATATAAAAACAATAGGAACTATTATTGTCATTAGCTGTTGGTCAATGACAGTGTCCATTGACTGGTAGTTAGAAAAATTTGTAGCATTATGATTATAATAGTCAAAATCAGTACTTACTTGGTAAAGCGTGTTTGTATTGTTTTCCGGTTTCATTTTAATGTCATCCACTTTTTTTTTAATTATTTAATTCAAAGCGTCACAACATTTTCTATTTCCAAAAAAATACGAGTAGGAATTGTTTTTCTTAAATTATTCTCCGAAACTAAATTATCAAAAGTGTATTCCTTTGCGATCTTGATACAGTTAAACAGCAGAAGAAGCTTGTTTGGTTCCAAATGAGAATCATTGAATTTTTGTTTGTTGAAATATCATTATACCTAAATACTCCACTACTATGTGCACGTGGTATAGATATTTATTTATTCGTTAAAAAGGTTACTTTCTTTGATCTTCAAATATTATTGAACCAAGTTTAATTCTATTCAGTGTCAAAAACAATATCCGTCCGTTTCCTTTAAAAATCCGTGTTTTCCTTGATAAATTTATAATGTATGTAAAGAAGCGAACAGTTCTGTATTGACTTGGTATTTATATATCCTTTAATGTCATAATATGTTGCTTTCTCCTGTGCAACAGAGGACATAATGATTACTTTGATAGTTTTTCTAAGCTCAAACAGCGTAGTAATTATTTTTGAACTGTTCCATTGGTTGCAGAGTTGGTAATTAGCCGAATTGTAACTTATTTTCTTACAGTATATACGTCCTGTAGAAATCGACAAAAGTTTTTCCGATGTTTCCGTCTTAGTAAATTATTGAATATCGTGCATGTCAAAATAGAATATAATTACTGATGCACAAAAGTAAGAAGAGATGAAAGAGTTTTATACAAGAGATGTTATCTTAAATAATCAGGAAAAAAACATGCCTCACAGAAAAGATAAATAGATAAGACGAAAGAAAAAAGAAAAAAATATGTGTAATGTTTAGCACAATGTCTCTTTTTTCTAGCTGTTGAAATTTAATTAGCATTTACTTCTTTAAATTAATTTGCTTTATTGTGATTTATGGAAACATTAACTTGTTAATATGAAAATAAACATCAAGCATCAAAAACATGAAAGAACAACTAAAAACAATCAGTTTTTCATTAAAACTAAACAGGAAAAGTGATCATTAAATTACTTTTGTGAAAAAATGTCGCATCGAAAACTTTCTTTCGAGTTCAGACACTTGATTTTATGAGTTTAATTAGGTCTTTCCACTTTTCTGTGGAAAGACCTATTGTATTTGTTCTGATTATTTTTTTTTTTTTTCGTCTTCCGCCAAACCCTTTTCTTGTGGTATAGAGTTGTTTCGCAAGTTGTCGCTTAGATATTTTGGAAATTGTATCGAACAGTTATTGCGCTTTTATTAACTCATCTTGTTAAGGCGAAGACTTTTTATTGTAAGAGTTATCTCCCCAAAAACTGTTTTTCTTGTTATTTCCTCCGTAACCAAAAAAGATAACGACAAAATTCTTTTTCATGTTTGTTCGTTACATCCTAAAGAATTTTTGGCTGATTTGGATCGAAGCGATCCGGTGAAATTTTATAGGAGTTATCTACCTTTATCGAATAAATTTGTCATAAAGTTTTTGTAACTCATAAACCATAAGCCTTTTAAACCTATAGTCTTTTTATTTCAGGTCCTTGGGTCCTTACTTAGAAAATGAGGTTCAGGTCGAAGATCAAGGTCATGTTCTGAATTATTTTGTCTTTTGCTTGTTTTTGCATTTTCTCCGATATTTTTAACGTTATATATAAAAGAACTAGTGCAAAATGTTTGTTATATTGTAATGAAGATATGATACTTTTGGTCTGAATCAATCGAGTGGCATCTTATAGGAGTTATTGCCCCTGAAATGTTTTATTTTAAGGTAAATTGATTATTTCTTTAGATTGGTACATGATAAAGCCATAAGATCTTTTGCAAATGTTGGGTGACATATGACCTTGAAAAACGTCAAACGGAAGTGACCTTGAGCGAACTTATTTCATGTAAAAGTACATAGAAACCATATATATTTGAATGCTCATACATTAACTTATCATTTGAGACCCGACGTGACATTTTATAAACCGGAAGAAGTAGCATATTATGTCCCTTATTACAGGCATAAGTATATACAAACTATATATTTTTGGCATCAGTGTGAATAAAGCTATCATATGAGACCGCAAGTGACATTCTAAACCGGAAGTAGCCAATTATCTCTCTTTTTACAGACAAAAGTATATATAAACCTTATTTTTGGAATCAGTGTAAATCATGCTATCATATGAGACCGGAAGTGACATTTTCTAAACCGGAAGTTGGCAATTATCTCCCTTATTTCAGGCAAAAGTCTATAGAAACCATACGTTTATTGAATCAGTATGAAGAAACCTAATATGATTGGACGTCAATAGTTGCTTTGAGTAAAGAAGAAGTAGCTTCTTATCAATTATTTAGAAAATTGATGTGGATTCTTAGTACATTTGTTCCTTCATAGGGAAAACCGAGGACTTCTAAGCTAGACTTTAATAATAATCGTCTTTTAAATCATGTTTTGTCAATTTCTCTTATATTTATAACATCATGGTATTTGTTGATTTTAACATTATACCCTTTTAGATTTCAATTGTTTTCGCGTTGATTGAGAGCTTGTTAAACGATGTCATGTTTTTCGCTTTTCAGCGGTGGAAATTCAAATTAATTAAATGACTACCTTATAACCCATATAATCATTCATGTTAATAGAATTACTATACCTCTCAATTTATGTTTATCGCATTTGATACTATAAAATGAAAAGAACACTGCTGGTTCGTTCAAAACGCTTTTTGTTTTTGATTTACCTTCATTAGAAAGCCAAAGTGAATGCCATCTTAAGTCAATTACGCGCCTGAGTTAGTTTGAAAGGTAGTACAAAGTTATTTCTAAATTCTTCAACGGAAGTTGAAACTTTGCTGCTATGAAATGTTTAATCCAAATAAAAGTATGCTGTTCTGGCTGGAAAAAACAACATGTAAGTAACTTCTACATTCTTCAACGGAAGTTGAAATTTTGCTGCTGTGAAATGTTTAATCCAAATAAAAGTATGCTGTTCTGGCTGGAAAAACAAGGTATGTCACTGAAATTTTATTCACAAGGATTGTATGAAGAAGATGATTGGGTATAAGCCAATTATACATGTACAGCAGCATGTGATCATTGAATACAACCACCCTAGGTTAAAAAAAAAAAACACACACACACACATAAAACCAAAAACAAAATACAAAAATATGCAGATATACTTATTTGACAACTTCTTCGTCGGTGCAATGTGTTCCATTGTTTTAAATCTCTCGTTTGTGATTTGAGGTCCTGTCTGGTTTGGAAGCTTTTTGACAAAGTGCTATTTATTTGCTTTATCAAAAAGGTAGGGTAAATTATCCCAAAATTGGTTTTGACAATATAAATAAATGGTTTATTTTTTCTTCAGAAGAACAAATTATAGATCAAAACACTATCGTTACGTATTTTTGGCAAATTTTGAATATTAATTCAAAATTGTTGAAAAAGACATCCTTAACTTAACAAAAAATTCGTTAGAGTTCCGCGGAACCCAGTGTCTCGCCTACTTTTTCTGTTAATCGCAGGCCCAACAAAAATGAGGAAGTAAATCAATAAAAATATTCCTCTTGATACTATCTTTTGATTGTAAGAAGCTTCTGTACAAGTTTGGTAAAAATCCAGGATAGTTTATGAATTTAATAAATGTTTAAAAAATTTAACTGCAGACTGAATGTATTGTTAACTGGAAGAAAACAAAATTTCCTTCTAGATACTAGCATTTGATCATAAACAAGCTTCTGTCCAAGTTTGGTACAAATCCAAAATAGTATAAGAAAGTTATTAAAATTTTAAAAACTTTAACCACAGAGTGAATATGTTGTTTCCTGGCAGAAAATCTAAGTCCATTTAAAAGTAAAATACGGCAAAATGGATTTTTTTTTTTACAAAATTTACTTCTAGATACTATCTTATGATCATAAACAAGCTTATGTCCAAGTTTGGTACAAACCCAGGATAGTTTAAGAAAGTTATTAAAATTTTAAAAACTTTAATCACAGAGTGAATGTAATATTTCCTGGCAGAAAAACTAAGTCCATTTATAAGTAAGATACGGAAAAAGTGGAATTTTATTTTTTCAAAAATTTACTTCTTGATACTATCTTATGATCATAAACAAGCTTCTGTCCAAGTTTGGAAGAAATCCAGGATAGTTTAAGAAAGTTATTAAAATTTCAAAAACTTTAACCACAGAGTGAATATTTGTGGACGCCGCCGATGACGACGACGACGACGACGCCGACGGAATGTAGGATTGCTATGTCTCGCTTTTTCGACTAAAGTCGAAGGCTCGACAAAAATGAATAAAAGCTATATATTGTCTCTTGCATACACATGAATTCATTTGGTTAAAGACGTTCTCCGATGAAAAATGTTAAAATGTACTACAAAAACTTGTAAAATTTGCTATTTTGTTTTTAAATGCATTTTATTGCAACATGTAATTTGTGCTGAATAAAGAAAAGAATTAAGCGCTTAATAACATTTTGATTCTAAGTAAATGAATAGTTATTTAAAATTGTTGAATAATTGGTTTTTGTGTAAGATTTAGATTTTTTTATTATTTGAATTTTAGAATTTTTTGTCAACGTTTAAATCAACCCTAAATGATCCTGTGAATGAAATAAACACATGGAAAATTGGAAAATATATTTTGGTCTGGAACCACACCTATATGATGGTAATATTCAAGAAAAAAATATTTATGTTTTTCTAAGGATTAACGACAAACGAGCTCGAGATCACGGTAAATATCGCAAGATCTCTGCCTACATACATTTCAATACAATCTATCCAAACGATCCCAGAGATTCCAATCCTTCTGACTATGCAAATCCTTGCTAGTTTAATCAAAGTTGAAGATAATTTTATATATCTTCCCGATCGCGCGAAA